CACACACACACACACACACGGACACACACACACGGACACACACACGCCTCTATCTAATGGAATCCACCTTTAATCAACTGCAGATGCACATCATATTAAACTCCACACACCATACTCTGACTCATAGGCTGTTTAGTGCTGTTAATACCAATCATGTATATCTTCCACCTCGGGGCCGTGCCGGAGTGTTGCCCGGCTCCCTAAATCACCCGTCCAATACCAGAACCATCGGTCCTGGTGCCAACTCTCCTCCTGCTAGAACAGATCAACACAGGCGCACCTGGTTCTCCTGAAGAGCCACAGAAGGTGTTAAAACTGCAGGAGTCTTTGTCTGCAAGATGAAAAAAAGAGTGGGATGGAAGAATCATTTAAAAGAGCAAGAAAGACAACCACATTAATGAACAGGTGCAAACTGAAAATTAAAGCGAGGTGTGCTGTTCCCCTTGTAAAGAGGTTTTATAGTCAGGTATCTGCTGCATATGTCCCAGCTTCAGATATGGGAGAAGTGTAGCATATTTTCCAGTGTCTGTAACTCAGTGGTTTCATATGCTGTGTCTCTTAAACTTTGATATAATATTATCATATTTGTCAACTACAAGTATTTTTTCCTTTAAATGTGTAAAATCTACCTCACAACAAGGATGAGTTGTAACCCTAACAGAAACAGGAACGTATTAAATTTTGTCAAAATGGGAAAAAAAGTTAGATTTATTTATTTATTAAAGTAATACTTTTATTTGTGCATTAAATTAATAATTTATCATGTTAAATAGATTTCAATTTTTTTTAAACTGTCTGTTCATCAAAGAATCCTGGAAAAAAACGTATCATGGTTTCAACAAAAATATTAAGCAGCACAACAAAATTACATTTTAAAATATATAAAAATAGAAAACAGTTATTTAAAATAAATAAAACAATTTCAAACATTTTTGAAATTCTTACTGACTCTAAACATTTAAACAGTACTATACAGGAAACTTTTAAATAAAAAAAACATAAAAAGAATTGTTAAGAAACAGAACAAAAGCTAAAAAATTTCGTCATTTCATTATTATATTGTTTTTTGTAGATGAATATGAAAAACATGTTTGATTACATATCAAATTAAACAAAAATAACCTCCTGTTTAAGATGATTCCAGACATGTCATTTAGCATCCATTTACACGATCACAAATCAAATTATAAGCCTTACCTCAAAATTCCCCACAGGAGACTGGGCTCTTGCATGGTAGTGATTTCACACCTGTAGCTCATTTCTAATGGGTTTAACTAATGGGGTTACAATTCGCCATGTGTTACAACACTCATTCTTCACTACCAGTGCTGAGTGCAGTAAGGGAAGGAAGAATCAGCCACAGAGCTGAAGATGATCTCTCTTAGGCCTCATCTGCCACTGTTTTCCTTTCTGCAGTCTAATCAGGAATTTGAGAAAAATGCTGCGAGGATGTTAATTAGATAAGCACACTGGTCCTGACACACTGGATTTCTATTCCACTGTAGAGAAGCTAGAGGTGTTTCCACAGGGTCATATACACTCAAATCAAAACATATGTTTTCACCAAATAAGATATATTCAACATGCAACACTATACCCAGTCAATCAACAATATACTATTTCCTTTCCGCAAAGAATTCAATCTCCGTTTACAATTGATTTTTTGTGAAAAACCTCAGGTACTAATGCAAAACTCAGAACTGCATTTATGATGGGAAATGCTTTTGCTGGAAATAAAATAATAAATGAGGTTTACTGTGAAAAGATGACTAGGGGTCTACCTGTGTCACCACCCGCTGAGAGCCCATGCAGAGAAGGAGCAGGGACCCCATTCTAAATCCACTCTTTTTCTCTCTCTCTCCAACTCTGCTTGTGGAAAATGGACCATTCGTCACGCTCATTGCTGCATTTGGAAATAACAGGGTATTTTCCCTCTCGTTGCTACTGTTGGATGAAATCTTTTGGGCATGTTGAACATTGGCTGCACCCCATGGGTGTTTGGATTTTTTATGCCTACTTAAATTCTGGAGACTTGCTGAATTTTCTTCTCTGAGCCAAATGAATATTTTATTAAATAAATAAAAAATTATTGTTTTAAAGACTGTTTTAAAAAATGTTCAATATATTTACATATTTAGCTATATTTCTTCTCTTTTACAAATAACTGTTTTAATGAAATATGTTTTAATAAACATTAAATATATTTACTTTTTTTAACAAATGACTGTTTTAACGATACACTCACATTAATTTAATTGATACATTAATTATTATTGTATGTAAGATAAAAGGATTTTACAGAAATCATTTACAGAGCAGTCAAAGTCATAGCAGCAAAAAAATACCACCCATATCAAATAACTACCCCATCAAACGACTGACATGCATGCAAAGCTCTGGCGGGGTTACAAATCAGCTGTCATTCAATCCGAGCGATTTGGAATTCCAACCGAATCCGCTAAGTATGTTTTGGAAAAGATGACAATCTGTCACACGACATCAGATGAATTAAAACTTGACTGAAGCTTTTGACTAACTCTGAACAGATACCAACTGACCAGCTGGCATGAGTGATTTACCACAGTCTCTCAGTCTGATTTGGACATGTGTATCAAATCAAGACATTTAATACCTCAAACTGCTATTGATCACTGGGCAACTTGAGTAGAATAACTTGGCCTGCTGCTTTCTCCTGATTTAATATTGTATGAAGCTGTAGACTGTAATTAATGCCAGGCTGGGATGAGATGGCACTGCAGGACAGAAGAAGATAAAGAGATGTTTAATCAGGACTCATCCGAAGCACCTTAAATGCCATCTCACACCCACTTCACATCTGAACATCTAATCTTGATCTAAATCTTCTGGATTAAAGATTGATTTTCAACCACTAGGGGGCGCTAGGATATTGCTCAGGCCTCAGAAGAACATCCATATGCCCATCACTACACATGACACATTCATTTCCACTAAAACCTCTGAGAGGCAGACAGGGGGAGTGAGGGAGATGTCTTAGAGAGCCATAAATGCAACACTGCGCGCAAAAATGCAAAACACCTGCAAGCAACATGCTTAACGCTGCGACCTGCCAGGATGTGATCAAACATGGCAGACCATGAGCTAACTGTAAGATGTAAGAGGCGAGTGAAAGCGCCCTCGCCCCTCCTCACTCTCTTTTTACAAGGGCAGAAATGAGGGGTGTCCAAAAACATTAAACCGGCAGAAATACTTTCACAGCAAGCAGGTTATTTATATGTCTGATGTGATGTCATGAATGAGCATCACTCTCTTTCTCTCAGTTTATACTGTAATCTGTTTCCCAGAGGATTCGAGCTGCACGCCAGCGATGTTTAAAAGTAGCACTCAAAACTGCTCCAGATGAAGGATAGTAATAATAATCACATGCTATTTTGGAAATAACAAGCATAAATAAATTCAATTCCTTCCAAAAGCCTCTGAAGGATGTTGAATTCATATTTCTTCTGTCTCACCTCAAGAAACCCTCCCATTTTTGTGACTTCAATGCAAGAAAGAGAGAACGAAAGAAAGAAAGAGAGCTCGTAACTCACTGAGAGAGACGAAGAGATTACTCTAACATGTGTCTTCCCTTCATCTCTCCATTCCTCAGAATACTGCTGTTTCCCATCCAAGCACAGCTGCACACATTTACAGTTATAGAGAGAGAGAGATGGGGAAGTACCACACTCGTTTAGTGATCCACTCTTTCCTCTCTCTTGTGCCGTCTCTGCCGAGGGACTTCCCAAAAGAATTTTTAGGAGAAGTGGGACACATGATGGCCAACAGAGTAGAGGAAAATGTCTAACTTGCTTGTGATTTACTTGTTCTGTTCGTGTTGAAAATGATCCTTCACATACAAACTGAGCACATATGATGGCATCTGATCTGTATATATGCGTGTGTTACTAAACCATTCCATCTCCACGCAGCTGTAGCCAATAGACACTTTTCAAAGAGACTTTTGTTTTACATATCTGCTTTTCTTTTAACTATGGCGTTTTAAAGGAACAGTTCACCCTGCCCCACCCCCTCACCCCCGAAAAAAGCGTCATTCCAAACCAGTATGGCTTTCTTTCTTCCGTGGAGCACAAAAGGATAAATGATGGTCACCTTTTTTTCCATGTAACTACAATAAAATTGGACTTTCAAGCTTAAAAAGGACACAAAACACATGAAAGTAACATTTTGAAGCTATATGATTGTTTTGCACGTGACAGATTGAAAATCTTGACATCCATCTTGACACATTCATTAGAGTTCATGAAATGTCCAATGACAACGTATCTTTCTTTTGAATCAAATTTTAAAGGAATAGTTCACCAAGATGAAAATTCAGTCATCATTAATGACCCTTATGTTGTTCCGATCCTGTATGACTGACTTTCTTCTAACATTTTATTTTCTCCACACAAATCAAAAACAGCGGTCACCAAAATGTGGTGTGAAATCAGGTTTGGAACAACAACAGGGTGTGTAAATTATGATTTTCAATTTTGGCTAAACTAACACTTTAATTAATTATTTGACCCAGATCATATGAGAGGTTTTAATATTTGTTCACTTATCAGACTGATTTAACTCACAGATTCCATTATCCAGCCACAGTGATTCTTACTGGAGGTTATCAGTAAAACAACTTCTATTTTGATATGTTTCTCACACTGCAGAACACTTGGAATATAATGCACAAGCTGTATGGATTATTTTCATGTTACTTGTATACAATGGTGCTTTTTCATCCACTTATAAGCTTTATATGGCTTCAGTCAAGATTTGTGATTGCATAAGATTTTCTGGTAACACTTTACAATAAGGTTCATTAGTTAACATCAGTTAACTACTTTAGTTAACATGAACTAAGCATGCACAATACTTCTACAGCATTTATTAATCTTTGCTAATGTTAATTTCAACATTTACTAATGCATTATTAAAATCAAAAGTTGTTCTTGCTAACATTAGTTAATGCACTGTGAATTAACATGAACTAACAATGAACGACTGTATTTTCATTAACTAACATTAACAAAGATTATTAAATACTGTAATAAATGTATTGTTTATTACGTTAATACATTAACTAACATCAACTAATGGAACCTTATTGTAAAGTGTTACCGATTTTCTTTAGAATTTCTCCTTTGGGGTTCCACACATGAAAAGAGTCATATTGGTTTGGAAGGACAGCACAACTTTGTTATTTCTGTTTGTCGCTTTCTCGCCATAACAACCCTAATACCAAGAGCATCAGCGTGTCACATTTCGGCCTTGAAACTGAAGGTGAGATCATGGCAGAGTCTGTGTTGTGTGTTGATTACAGTGACTCATGGCTGTCCTCTGAACCCCTGCAGTGATTCTTGTCTGTGTGACAGCACTGTATTGGTCTTCTCTGCAGAGAGGAGCATGAGATCATGCTTGTTTTTAAAGGAACGTACCAGTATGATAAAAGAGGTTATGAGAACTCCATTTGAATGGTTTCTGGTTGGTATGACACCTGTCTTTGTGTGTGTAACTACTGCTCTTCCCAAGACTTCAAGACTGCTACACATGCCTTGCAGAGACTCTTGTTAGTGTCAGCCACGCCAACCGAAGGTCCTGGATGTCTAATGCACAACAGACTCTTCAGCTATACTCATTCTCATTGTTTAGGGCTGTGAATTTTACTACACACTTTCATGTTTGCTGCACATCTGAATCCGCGATTTTCTATCAAAAAATTAAAAAATCATCTACAAGCCCAGTGCTTAAAAACATAGTTGACCTTTAACTAAATGAAATTTAATTTACTCCCTTGCATGTCATTCCAAACCTGGTTTTCCTCCTTGTGTGGAACACAAAAGGAGAAGTTTAGTATGTTTCCACAGCTGTGAAAGTGAATGGTGATCAGGCAGAGGCAAGCTCCAGAAATGTCAAAAAAGCACCATAAAAGCAGAACAGTGTTGCTATTGTTAACTAAACCTATTGAAAAATTGAAATAAAGCTGAAATAAAGTAAATATTTAATGTAAAACTTAAACAACTTTAAACAGAATTTAAGAAAATTAAATGTTGCCTTAGCAACTAATTGAAAACAAGTTTACTAAAACTAAGATTAAAAGAAAAATAATAATAAAAAAATTATAAAAATGACAAAAGCACATTAGACTCAAACTTCACTAAAATTAGAATGAAAACGGAAACTATAAAAATAAAAGCAAATTCAAAATCTCTTGCACTTTTATTTGTTTTAATTTTTAAATATGCCAAACTTCATTGCAAACCTTCATTATAAAAAAATGGATGTTTCCTCAAACAAAAATCACATTATTTTGGAATGACTGGTTGCTGAAATTTAATTTAATATTAATTTAATGTTTAATTAAATTTAATGTCATCATATTCCTAGAGCTTTCAATAGTACAATTAATAATATAAAATACAGCATGTTGAAAAACATTAACTGCTCCACTCTCTTCTCCATATCGTGTCCTTAAATATCCAAAAATAAAATAAAAAAAAATGTTCAAAAAGACCTTCACCCTCAGGTGCAGTTGTAGAGAAGAAAAGCTCACATGTGTTGAGTAACTTAGAGTCAGGCTTTTGTCAGACAGACCTGGAGTCTTCACACTTTTACTGAAAGATAGTGCATGTAGTATTAGCGCCAGCCAGCTTCAATAGCGATACAGCACCTTTGTTCAGACAGCTGCACTTAAAGGATCAACTCTAATCTCTACATAAACTCGTTTCGCTCCTATACGCATCCAGCTTCGACTTGACACAACACAAACGTCGCTTCTCATTAGCACTGAGGTGCCAAGCGTGGTTTTACAAGGTGAGCACAGAGATTATGTGAATTTTCCAAGAGCTTAAAACAACTCTACTGAGGCATTTCACAACCTCTTCACCCACATTCTCTCGTTCGGGATCTGGGTATCCATGGATTCGGTCACTCCCTGGAGATCTGTGGGCGATTTTAAACTGTTATTTCATTCACTCCACAACCAAAAGGGAACGCAGAGCTGCTGTAACCGCTTGGGCTTTGGTCAGAGGCCTGGGTGGGATGGAGATGTCAGGACAAGAGATGCAGAGCAGTTCAGGGACCTGCTTGTTCCTGCGGTTTGGGAAGTGTAGTGAGAACTGCCTGGCTCTACTGCTTGTGGATTTGGCGAATTGATTGTTGAACTATTCCGAAGAGCAAAGCATCACAGATGCTGTTATCATTTTACATGAGAAGTTTAAAAGAGGGTCAGAACCCTGTATGACCTTTATTGTTGGTTTTATATGCCAAAATGTCGGATAAATGAACTGGTTAAGATTTTTGGAGTTTACAAATTCATTTTCTGTCATTTCTAGTGAAAAATAATGTGTGGCCTAAATCGGATGAGGTATTCCAGTTTTTTTTTTCCAACTATGCAAAAAAAAAAAAAAAAAAAAAAAAAAAAAAAAATTTTTTTAAAAAGATGATCCATTGCTTTAGTCTGACTGAAGTAAAACTTGCAAAGTGCATAAACACATTTAGTCTGAGAGTGTGAGTGTATGACAAACTAATTTTCTATGATATAAATTAATGTGCCTCAGGTTTGTTCAACTTTGCAAATAAAGAAAGCAATTGCAGTCAGACTATGGTTTTAAGTTTTCACAAAGACTAAAACCAAACTTTTAAAGTGCACATAAACACAATTTCAGAGTGTGAGTGTATGACAAACTGTAATTTCTATTGAAAAACATGTAGCATAAATCAAATGGGTCATCTGAGGTTTTTCAACTTGGCAAAAACGGGACAGATTTCAGTCAGACTACGGCATTTACGTTTTTAAACTGATGATTCATTGGTTAGTCTGGCTGAAATCAAACTTCTAAAGTACATGTGAACACACTTAGTTTGAGAGTGTGAGTGTATGACACACTCTACGATGCCTCTTGTTCGGATCATTACTTGCAGTTTACAGGCTTACACCATCTTCCGAAACACATCATAGACATACACATTAAAAAAAAGCCCATAACACAGCAGTCCTCAAACACAGAGATGTCTCACCATTCTAATGCATGTTAAAAACACATGTCCAGCGAGCCTTGAGGGATGATGACAGCAGATCTTAGTGATGTAATGTAAAGGATTTCCTGTCTTCTTAGAATTAATGAACATGCTAATTTTTCTCGGATTGAATCACACTAATATCAGGTTACCAACACAGTCACACTCATAAACAAATAACTATTACCCTAACATGGCTTACATTAACTGCTCTGCATGCTCCACAGAATTCTCATTCCCTCTCAGAAGTCAAACTGCTCTGGGGAATCACACCCACATTGTTACAAAACAACAACAGCAGTCCTGTACTAGACCCCAGAGGCCCGTGTCAGAGTCTCTCGTAAAAGTGAACCCATCTTTGAGGCTGGGGCCAAATAATTCCACCAAAACGAATGCAGAGATCTACTGAACCTCCAGCCTTCTCATTATGCTTTAATTTAGACACTCAATACCACAATCATTATACCAGGGGGTGGAGAGAGACTGATTTAATCTAGAGGAAAGGAAGCATTACAAAGACTCTGGTAAAGCTGAGTCAAGTGCATCAGTTCTATTAAAAGCATTTTGATATATTTTACAGGCGTGTGTGATCAGTGTTGGAGCATTCATTGGTGTTTACTACTTTTAAACATCTGTCTGAGGACTAACAAGGCCCTAAAGCCTCAGCATGCAAATGCAAAATCACCTCTTGCATCAGGAGACTGGAGTTTTGATCTCACAGAGGCAATCCATTTTCCGTCCATGCAAGCAGGCTGACGCTTTTAATGTGGGATTGGTCAGCATAGCCGCTGTCATCCTGCACTCTTTGTATTCTTGGCAGGACTGTGCTTTTCCCCTCAGGTCAAAACTGGAGTCCATGCTGTTCTCCGTCCATTCACAGTTCGGTTTGCCATGGTGTCTCTTCGCAGGACCTGTAAGTTGACATGAAAACACTTAAGGATTGCTTACGGCTTACCCTCTCTGCTGTGTCACATGAAAACAATTGCCAATTTTTTTGGTTTCCCCAGCAGAATTTTCTTCTTTTTTATTTAGTTTTCAATTATTACAGTTTCTGGAAAACAACGTCAAAGTAAAAACATAAAAGAAATGGCAGCTATTAAGAGAGCCAAATGTAAAAGTTTATGTGGATCCGAGCTGCTGTGATGATATTAATAGGCAAAAGAGAAGAAAGAAAAGAAGAAAGATAGAATCCTGCTGTCGGGTCTGTAATTCAATGCCAAACAGTGAAATAAAATTTAACAAATAATAACTAGGCAAAATACACTCCATGACCCCGTACTGGGTCATAATGAGCCTACAGATGAGTAACTCTTTAGTAAACATATATATATATATATATATATATATATTTATTTTTATTTTTTATTTTTTATTTTTTTAGATTCACCTGTCCAAGATTTACTGTGAGATTCTGAAATATTGCTACAGGTCAAGGGGTCAAGGTTTGGGTGATTTAAAATCAGGCCTGTGTTTAAAGAAAGCATAATGTAAGCATAAGTATAAAATAACTTTCTATTCATCAAAATTCTAAAGAAAGTAAATCAGGGTTTCCACAACAATGTTAAGCAGCAAAACTGTTTTCAACATTGACACTAAGAAGAAATGTTTCTTAAGCATTAGAATAATCTATTAGAATAATGTCTGAAGGATCATGTGGCTCTGCTGGAATAATGGCCTTTTTTACATTGTAATAACTGTTCACAATATAACTGTTTTACTGTATTTTTGATCATATAAATCTTATGTTCACTTGATGAACATAAGAAACTTGAAGAGACAAACCCTTGAACTGCCGTACATGTATATAAAAATGAATTAATATCAAATATAATATAATATAATATAATATAATATAAGCATCTATTGTGCGTCTTGCACATTACTGTACTACACACACACACACACAAATGTACTAATTTAAAAAGCATGTCAGCGGAAATCAGTGACACATAGAAATGTCCTACCTCTGAGGGCTCAT